AGGTATATTATGTAAAAACCCTCTTTTTTTTCCACTTACAGGAGAATAAGTAATACATTTTAAACAGTTTTTATATATTCATCAACTTTAGTTCTCATGTTTGGAAACCAATAGAGTTCTTTTATAGCATTAATACATTTATCAATACCTACATATCCTAAATCATCGTGACAACTTCTAATTACATTTAATTCCATAGTGTTAGGTACATAAAATAGTAAACGTCTATTTTCTTTTTTATAAACAAGATTGTTATTGATTTCAAAATCTTTACTTTCAGTTTTCTCTAATTCCTCTCTAATTTTGTTAATTTTTGAATCTTGATATTGTCTAATGCTAAGATTTGTTTCAAAAGGTGTCTCTTCTAGTACTAAAACATTTTGATAGCATCTACTTAAAGAATCAACATGTTGCATATTACTTCCACTTCTATGTTCTAAAGTATAGTCATAATTTTGTAAAAATAAACTCCATCTCATTATTTTCGGGTTAATGTCTTTCTTCTTAAGTGCTAAAGTGATACTATTACAATCTGTATAAATTTTAAATTTAATGCCTAGTATATAGACATGAAATCTTTTAATGCTATTTATTATGGCTGCTAATTCTAAAAATAAAACTATGTTGCTTAGACTCTGACTCTGTGGTACGTTGGCTATAATAAAATACTGGATGGAACTTTAAATCTTTTTGTTTTTGCATTAAAATACCGGAATAACCATGCGAACTAGCATCACAATGAAGCTGAGTTTCTGCTTTAGGTGAGTATAATGCTAAAACTGGTTTAGACATTAATATTTCTTTTAAATTATTAAAACTAGTAAATTGCTCAGATCCAAAATTGAATTTACTGTTTTTTTTAGTTAAATTATATAATGGGCCAGCAATGGTTGAGAAATTTGGAACAAATTTTCGAAAGTAAGAGGTCAAACCAATGAAACTTTGAACCTGTTTTACATTTTTTTGGCACTGGGTAATTTTTAATTGCTAATAAATGCTCATCATTCGGACGAATTTCTTTTTCATTAATAATATATCCTAAATATTTTATCTCAGTATATAAAAAAGTACATTTATCTATTCTCAAAGTCAAGCGATTTTCCACTAATAGTTTAAAAACATGCTTTAAAATTGAGATATTTTCTGGTATAGTTGTAGTTGGTATTAAAATATCATCAAAATAAATAAAAATTTTATTTAGATCAATAAGTTCTTTAAATATTTCGTGAATGTACCTCATAAATACAGAAGGAGAATTTTTAAGACCAAATGGCATCTTTAAAAATTCGTATTGAGCTACTGGGGTTACAAACGAAGTATATTTTATCGAATCGTGTTCAATATCAACGTGATAAAAAGCACTTTTAAGGTCCAGGGTTGTGAAATATTTTTGACCTTGTAATTGAATAATTTGATCTTCAATCAGGGGAATAGGAAAGTTATCTCTTACAGTAATTTTATTTAAAGCTCTAAAATCAGGACACAATCGATAATCATTAGTTTTCTTTTTAACTAGAACTATTGGAGAGCTGTACTCCGAAGTACTTTTTTGTATTACATTGTTTTCTAACATGTCGTTAATCAAATCTTGCACTATATTTTTTCATAAAAGATAAACGTCTAGGTTTAAAATAAAACGGAGTATGATTTGAATTAACTACTATTTTCATTTTAATTTTAGATTCTATTTTTTCAGGTCGCTCAGGTTGTATATAATCTTGAACAAAAGATCAACTAATTTTTGACGATTTTTTGCATCAATTTCAGAATTTATATTTAAATCAACCTCATTTTGATCAATGTAATCAATTTGTAAGATTTCATTATTTTCCTGATTTTCCAATAAATTATCATTTAATACTGATTTTATTTTGACTTTTCCAGACTCAAAAATTAAAGAAATATTTTTATTTGTCATAAAATTTCTACCTAATAGACATTTAACAGGTATAGCATCATCTGGTACTATATAAAATAAAACTTGGACATCTATGCCTTCAACATATACTTTAAACATTATTGAACCTATAACATCTAATTTAGATTTATTAACACCCTCAAAATCTACAGATGGGGCTTCTGAGATTTCAAAATTAAATGGTCTGATTATGCTATTAGCAATAATAGAAATTACACTACCTGAATCAAGAGTACCTTCGATAAATAATTGTTTACTGTCTTTTACAAGACACAAAGGCAAGGTGAATCTATCAGGGAATTTGTTCTCGACCATCAATGCTTCTTTCTCTTCAACTTCTTTCTTGGATGTAGAGGCTCTTTCTCCTTTAATCTTTGGACAGTCTCTTATTTTATGTTCCATTGAGCCACAATTGAAACACGAACCCCTCACTCTAGGCATCTTTTTGCATTGCGACGCCAAATGTCCTAGCAAATTGCAATTGTAACACTTAATGGTTTTATTATTAACTTGATCTAAACTGGTAAATTTCTTCAGAGATGCTTCAATTGTCTTCTGTGGTTTTTAATTTCATTTTTTCTTTCAGGCAATCTATTTTTCCTCGCAGTAACAATTCTCTCGTATGCTATAATGTCCTGGTATAATGCATCTTCATCTATATGGAATTTGGACATGACAAAATTACTTAATTCTCTGGACCATAATCCAATAGCTATCTGCTCTTTCTCTTCTTCGAATGATAAACTTAACTCTTTGCATAATGATGCTTTGGAATGAAAATATACGCTTACATTTTCATTGACAGACTGTACCCTCTCTTGCATTCTTTTCCATAATTCGGTTTTATTCTTGGTAAATACAAATGTTTTAATAAAAGCCATGCGGAAGGATGACCAATCTACAACTTCACTGCTTCGCCCTGAATACCAATGGCGTGCAGCACCAATCAGATTACTTTTGGCTGTTTGGAAAATAAACGCATCTGGCCAATTGTGAAGTGTTGCGGCAGTTTCCAACTGCTGTAACCATAACTTAGCTTTACTTGGCTCTTCTTCAGCACTGAATATTTCTATAGTTTTCGAGAGATCTGGCATTACGTTATAATTTCGAACTGGAGATTCTTGATTTGGCGCATCTAATGGCTGCTGCTGTTGTTTTTGTAGCATTTGCAACATCTGAGTATTTTGTTGCAATAAGGTTGTTATCGTATTCATAAATTGATTAATATTAGCATTACTGTTTGGATTTTCTTCAGCTCTATTTTGCACAAATCTTTCAAAATCATCAGCAGAAAATTGGTGACTCTGGTTTTCGTCTTGATCTTCCATTTTATTTATTGCCGGTAATCTTCAAACTATTGTTATAACTTATCACTCTTCTTCTCTTCTTGGGGACTACGCAGATTTAACCCCACACCTGAAGTTATAAATTGGGGGAGCCTTAATTTTTATTGTATTTACAATAAAAATGACTTCATGTAATTTTTATACTTTATTCTCCAATTTTGTTTATTTCTCAATACATAACAACTAACAACACCATAACAACAAGCTACCCATAATTCTATGCTTCCAGGAAGGAGTTGTCAGCCTAGTTTTTGGCGCTATATTTAAATAATTCTTACAAAAAGAAAATCAATAAATGCATTAAAGTCGAAGCGGTGAGTAGAGTGGCGCTTTCTGTGTACAAAACACATTTTATTTAGATAAGTAATTTGCTTTGCTAGCGTATTTTATCACAACAAGTTCAATTTATTTTGGAAATATTATTCTCTAGTTCCTCGTTGTTTTAAATACCCTACATCAATATTACCTGCAGAAGCCAGGAATAATTGAAGTACGCTAAACGCCACTTCAATATATACTGAAAACTTGTTTGGTCAAAACAGCACAATATAAAGTGGTCTGAAGCTTGGGTTGTCCTCATCAAAATCTCATTGAAAAAAGCATAAATTTAAAGAGGCCGTTTTTATTGCAAACAATAACAAGAATTTTAGCAATCCTAGTACGGAAATATCTACCCGATTAAAATAAATAATAATATAATAGCTCCCGTATATAGCGTTTAACGCCTTGGGAGTAGCAAGGTACAGCTTGCTATACTAGAGCCGTTCGGTATACAAGGAAGGTAATGTGGCTAGCACTACGCTTTAACCGCCTATTATTACCTCAGGATTGTAAATCCGAAGTACTCATTTAAGGCTGAGTCGATCTAGGTACCCAAACTATTTTTATTTTAATAAAAATAGTCGGCTGATGAATTGCCGGGTGTGGGATTCGAACCCACTACTTTCGGATTGGTAGACGAGAGCCTGTACCTCTACGCCACTGTGGAACTTTCAAAATTAATAAAAATTAATAAATTTACCGGGCACTTTTAAAATAAATAACCACTGATAAAACGCACCAATGCAATGCAGACATTTTAAGTGGACAACCTCACGGTTGACTGCACCCAACTTCTTCACGGGCGAATGCCTGGCTGTAGTATAAAAGCTCATTAATTTTAGGAATTAGATTAGTTTACACTTGATAACGATCAGTGATTCTTTTGACAGAAACGTGCCAATCAAAAATGAATAAAGACAATGGCAGTCCGAAATTCTTTTCGTTTCAATACTGGATTATTATCTCCACATTCAAAGTAATATTTATTTTTATTGTAGGATGTTCTGATTAGCATTAATATTTCAATTAACTATTCTTCTATATTATTGCTATATGATGTTCTTCAATCATTAGGATTTATTGTGACATTTAACTGGAAATCAAATCTAAGAATACTAAATCGATTAGGATATGTTATTCAAAGTTGTAGATTACAACAAAAAGAGAAAGCTTTAAAGAACATAATGTTTATTTTAGTTAAAAACTTATTGGCTGTTTACATAAAACAGTTTATTTGAATTTGTATATTTTTTATAAAAAAGGGCATTTTTTATAAAGAAATTTGCTGAAATGATGATATGCCTATATTTTCATATAAATTCTTAAAGATACGTACATTTTTATTTGCATTTCGAAAAATTTTCAAATAGTTTTATATTTCACTTATTCTAATTTAAACGTTTGCTTTGTTTCAGAGTACATGGATATTGGCAACTATATAAAAAAGATATGCGTAACGGAAATGGCCCGATACAAACGGTTCAACAAGTTTTTTAATATGGAGACGATAGAGAAAACAGTGAGCTAGGCTCCCAAACGGCGGAGTAACGCCTCTCTGAGAAGGTAACTTTATAATAATTAATTTAATCAATTTTGTTACTGTGGCAAAACTAACTTCATGTTTTGATAAGTAAACTTCAGAAATATCATGCATGCAAGATAGATATCATATTTTTCTAGTTGGCATATTAACGACATGCCAAGTGATTATTTAAAGGTTGAACATCCATTAAAATAATAATGAATTCTATCAAATGTACACATTTTTTTTGGCATTTTCCAAAAAATATATTTGAGCATAATTATTACCGTTTAAAAGAACCCGGATAGAAGTGCAACACGTCCATTTAAGAATGCTTATACCATGGTGGCAGGTTCATTTCTTGGGCAGACTTCTGGGTTTTGGCCACTGGAAAAAAACGTACAAAATGAAAAAGTATTTTTTTAACATCACTGAGTTGATCCAACGGAATCCAATTTGCCATTGATTTGGTTTGTTTTTGATGCTGTTAATTTTTAGTTGTTAGATACTCCGTGACAATCCGAAGACTGTTCTTACTTAAACTAAGGAAACTCTCGGTCGCGTAAGATCTGAGAAACTTTCTCGAGTGTCTCAGACCTATTTGAGAACTCCCGTTCCAGGTGTCGGATGAAGTCTTCTAGGTTCCTAAGACATCTGGAAGACTTCCTGAGGACAATTTGTTCAGCTTCTCTAAGCATTCTTTGACCAATTTCGAATTGATGGTTACTGAGTTGATCGCTTTTAGAGCTGCTTGATTATCTGTAGCTGTAGAGCTGCTAGCTTTACTGCTCCATAGGCAATCATGGGTCTTACTATCATGGTATACATCCAGCACAAAATGTTTATCTATTTGCGGCCAGTCTTCTGCGTATCATGGGAGCCTTTGTGGTTTTGCTTGTAATATTCTTAAAATACCTGTTCCAGGGAAGTTTACTGTCCAGCGTTATTCCAAAATATTTGACAGAATACCCATAGTTAATTTGAAATTTTGATAAGGGTTGTCTCACTTGGTGTATACGTACATATTACCAAAATATCAGTTTACTGCCAAGCGACTGCCGATAACTACGAAAAAGACTGCGTATGTCTGCCATATAATTATAGTCGACTGATGCCAACGACTTCCCAGAAAATGTACAGGGTGTCCCACTAAGAATAGGTCTCGGCTGTATCTCGGAAAGTATTAGCAGTAGGTCCTGCGAAAAAAAAAACAACCAACCAAACTAAAGAGGCTATGAGCAATTGCTGGAAATTATTATCAAGTTTGTAGAACGGACGCTAGAGGGCACAACTGCTATAAAAAAATAAGAACAAAGTTTGTACACAATTTTGCCTAGATAACGGGTAATATAAATAATAGCTTCATAATCTTCAGTAAATTTTGAACATTTTTTTAGAACCATTTTCCAGTATCTGCCAAAATAAAAGTGGTGGGGGAAGGTTAGATCTATTTTTATTTAAATATTAATAACACCGGATTGGATGGACAGAATCCAACAAGCGGGGGCTCGTTTAATAGAGCGTTTATTACTCTATATTATACAGTATAAACAATAATAATAATCTTTGAATGTAGACGCTAGGAGGCGCTGTTTTACAATTGAACAAACATTGCTCGTTCTGTCAAAAAAATTAAATGCAATAGTATATGTATTTTAGCTGATATCAAAGAGTAATAAAAGCTTAAAAAGTCAGCGAAAACCGAATCTTGATATCCTCTTTCAAACCGAAGATTTTAATAAAATTATAATAAATACGAAAAATAAGCCCTTAATTAGCTTATTTTTATAACAGGGTTACAGTAGCTAGGGGTCGTCAATTTCTTGACAACTTCTTGATCAAGACAAGAAATGATTTTTGGTTTTCAAGACAAGACAAGAAATTACTTCTCAAGATCAAGATTTCTTGACAAGAAATCAAGAAAATCTTGAAATTTCTTGAAATATAAAATAAAAAGAAATACTCATTTACTTAGGTATTTGTATATTATATGAATATCCATTAATTGATGGATAAAAAAATTATTAAGCAAAAAATATTTGTACGAAGCGGCACTTTGTCGGATGTCACTTTGTCCAATGTCCAAAGTTGACATAAGTACTTCCAAAGTCGGATGTCCAAAGTTGGCATACTGTGGGCCAAATTACATTGGAACCTGTTTTAATGCCTAATAATTTTTTAATTTTTAAATGTTTTTTTATAATTTTTTGGATATGTTATGGCCTATGATATTAGAACAAAAAAAAACTTTGCAAAGCGGGTCTACTAGTGCCATACAGACTTTTTGAATTAATGTAAAATTTTTAAAATAAAAAAAAATAATACATTTTAATGTACGCCACTGAAGTAGAGTAGTTTTTATCATTGTTGTTTTGACTGTTTTTATCTGTGCTAGTATTATCATCGTTACTACTGTCAAAGTCACTAATTAAACTTCTACGTCCAGGTGCATGAGGTGGTAGGTATTCTGAACCAGATTCGATTACGAATGGCTCAGATTTGCTGGTCAACGAACCATCACAATCACTCGTTCTAATTTCTAATGTTTGATAATAATAATAATAATTATCAAAATTATGTAAAGCTGGTGATTTTGGCTGTAGTATTGTTTTACTGTAGTATAATGAGCCCAAAGTTTTTGAATTTTTTGAAAATTAGATGCCTGACCCTCGATTTTACGCATAAAGCATAAACATCACATTAACCAATCTCACTGCGACTTTTAAACAGGGGTTTCCCCTTTAATTAACCAATTTTAAACGGGGGTTTCCCTTTTGTCAAGATATCAAGAAATTTCAAGATTTCTTGAATCAAGACAAGAAATCAACTCTCAAGAAATGGTCAAGGCAAGATTTTTTTTAATTCTTGAAAATATTTCAAGACAAGACAAGAAATTGCTTGTCAAGACAAGATTTCTTGTCTTGCCGATCCCTAACAGTAGCCCTCTTGATTATGACCATTATAATAAAAAATAAGATAGAAACAATTAGTTTATTCTAAAATCGACAATATACCAGAATACCATAATGCCAGATGTATTAATATCTAATAATTAAGATATTAATAACAGTGAATAAGAAGCGACGCCTCAGTGAATTCATGGTAAGCTTTGGAAATAAATTGCTTTTGATGTAATAGTATAAAAGTCAAAGTGTTATTAGATCAACATTTTGTTAGTCTTAGCAGCGTCTTTTCTCTTTTGAAGGAAGGAATTTTTATAAAATCAATCAAAAAATTAAACACGCTGCTAAGTCTATCAAAATGTTGATATAATAATATTTTGATGTTTAAACTATCTATTTAAAAGCAACTTTTTTCCAAAGCCTACCATGAATTCACTAAGGCGTCGTTTCTTGTTCACTCTCATTGATATCTTAATTATTAGATATCACTACACCTAGTATTATGATATTCTGGTACATTGTCAATTTTTTTAATAAAATAATGTTTTTTATCTTATTTTTTATTAGAATGGTCATAATCAAGAGGGCTAGTGATATCTTGTTAGAAAAATTAGGTAATTAAGGGCTTATTTTTTCGTATTTCTTATAATTTTGCTAATCTCTTCGGTTTGAAAAAAGATATTAAGATGTGGTTTTCGCCGACTTTTTAAGCTTTTATTACTTTTTAGTATTAGCTAACATTACATACACTATCGCATTTATTTGTTTTTGAAAAAACGCGTAATCTTTGTTGTAATTTTTGTAATTGTAAGACAGCGCCTCCTTGCGTCTACGTTTAAAAGCTTATTTTTATTGTTTATGTGGTATAATATAGAGTAAGAAACACTCTTTTAAACGAGCCCTCGCTTGTTGGATTCCGATCATCCAGTCTGGAGTTATTAACATTTAAATAAAAAGAGCTTTATTTTAGCAGACTGGGGAAAATGGAACAAAAAAGATCCTAAATTTACTGAAGATTATGAAGCTGTTATTTATAGTATACATCGTATCTAGGCTTAAACAAAACTTGATCTTTGTATTTCTGTGATTTGGCACAACGAAACAATAGCTTCATTAGATATCACAAACATTTATTGTAAAGTAAATACTTCGAAATTTTATATTAAACCGCATTTGAAATTAGTGGGTATTTTACGAAAATTGGCGAATACTGAAAATATTACTGTATAAAATCTATTGAGATGTACTTACTGTCTATTAATGCTAATGACCACGGCGCAGCGCGGCGGATGAGATTAGATATCTGAAGCATCAAAGTCGATTTAGAGACTCTCTAACATAGTAGGCTATTAGAAGTTAAGGTTAAAGTTCGGAGTTCGCATAACCACATAATTTCCCCCGTGATTAGACTTAAGTAAAACGATAATTTCAGCAAAATAAAACACTAATTTGCTACAATACACCAAAACACTTTACTTTTAAAACTGGAGGCGAAACGATCATCATATTTTTAACAAAACCTAATTTTTACGTATATTTATGAAAAGCGCAATATACTTTTAAGAGGATGCCAAACAAATAGAGGCTGCCACGGTTTAAAGTTTTTTCTTATTACTTTATACGGGTCCGGCAACAATGCGTCGGATATTTGTAGCTCCTATAATAATAACGAAAAAACTTTTTTGGAAATTTTGGATAAGTGCAAACCTAAAGTATGCATAGGGTGTATTTCACGTGAGATGTCGTATTTTTGTGAGATGTCATGTAAAACCAAGTCAGTGTATTTTACTTAGTCTCTCTTTAAGCACCTATTCAACAATTTTGATACAAATTGTTAGTATCAATATTAGTCATCTTTAGTTATATAATAATTATAATGACCTGGGCAATTGCATGCACGGCACCATAATTATAAAAAAGGATAATCTACTATTTCGATTACTAAGTAAATCTAATAAACGGTGCACTTAAGAATAAAGTTTTTTAATTACTATAGAATATCATATCGTGCAATTACCAAATTATATCTATATAATTACTATAGAAATAAAGATGACTAATATTGATACTAACAATTTATATCAAAATTGTTGAATAGGTGCTTAAAGAGAGACTAAATAAAATAAACTGGCTTGGTT